GTGTCGTAGCGAGTCAAGTTTTTGGCGCCGTTGCCGGGGACTTTCTAGAGTATTAGGAAAGGCAGAAGTTTGTTACTTTAGCGTTTTTCTTTTCTTTTCTTTTCCACCCTTGCTTTTCACTTGGGTGTTTTTGTTTTTGTTGGTGCAGATCTGAATCATGGATCCTCATGGCTTCTCCAACAATTGGGGGTATCCACCACCACCCGAGTGGTATTACCCCGAGACTCCCTGGAGCAATCAAGGAGGAGAAGACTATGGATTCGGGTTCCAGTACCAACCCCCTTACTACGGAGAACAACCGGACCCCTGGGCATATCAAGAACAACCTCATTACCAAGAAGAATTTTTCCCACAACCAGAGGGGCCATTGGAGCTGGAATTACCCATGGCGGCCTTCACGGGCCATTCTGCAGAGCCATGCTACACTCCACATCCAGATCCACACTATGAATTGAGACTTCGCATGGAGCAGTTTGCTCGAGACTATGATAGAACATGCTCCAGGATGGATCATTGTGTCCAGGCCTATCATGAAACAGAGGAGATCCTCCTGAGCCTTAAGAAGAGCGTCGATGATCTTGAGCGATCTTGGGCACAACCTGCTCCAGATCACCCTTCTGCTACCATACTAGAAGAGGAGGAGGAAGAAGAAGGCTACAAGGACATTGTGGAACACACAGAAGTTGTCACGGAGAGCTCCCGTGATGGTCATGATCAGGAATGTCCTGTCGTAGCCGACCACACCTTCCCACACCCCAAACTGAGCTTTGAAGAGGCGGGCATGAGTGAGGAGATGCAAGAAGATCTCATGAAAGAAATTGCTTGGCAACTTGCTCTCCAATCCTTGCTAGAAGAAGAAGAGCAAGAAAGGGTGCAGAAAGAAGTTGTGGAGGATGATGAAAGTGAAGCAGGAGGAGTTCTTGATCATTTCTCAGGGGTGATACCACATGAAGAAGGAAGGGAGGTTGAAGAAGAAATTGGCGTCCAGGCTGAGGACGGAGTTAAGGTGGAAGAGGCCTGCATCGGCTATGAGTTACATGTGATATCTCCACCAAACTTCGAGGAACTGCTTAGCAAGGACCCATTTGCAGTGTCTCTTTGCCAGACCAAGGCCACATCGACATCGGTCCCTCTTGGTGGACGCGATGGTGGTCAATCGATGCTGTCATATCTGGTTTGGGGCAATGAGACGAGAGAAAAGAAGAAGAGGTCTCGAGGGTGGAGACGTTATCTGCATCAAGTGCACGAGCTTCCATCACCTGTCATACCACATGCTCGTGACTTGAGAATCCACCTCATTGACGAGAACCTCAACTTCAAGGAGGTTTTGGGGTGGACCGAAACTTAGGAGCCATCGTCCGGCTCACGACGTGAAAGAAGCGCTTGTTGGGAGGCAACCCAACCAGTCGGTTTGCATTTCTTTCTCTATTTCTCTTCGGTTGAGTCAGTTTTGTTCTTTGATTTCAGAGTCAATAATTCAACCTTTGTGAGATTTTGTGTGGTGTTTGTGTTCCGACTACTTTGTCCTCCTGGAATGCACCGCCTTCCCCGTCCACCATCATTCACCGTTGATATGGTAACTTCGTTCTACCCTCCTTATCTTTCCTCCATTGAGGACAATGTCGTGCTTAAGTGTGGGGGGATGTTCGATTATGTATGTGTGTGAATGTTTGACTGTTTGTGTGCTTGGAGCCTAGTCCACTGTCCAAATTTCGATTTGAGGGCTCCAAGTACGTGTTCCTTGCAATTGCCTGCTCAGTATGCTTTGAATTGACAGTCTTTATAGTAATATGCAACCTAGGGAGGTAGTGTAGCACTATGGAGGATGTTGATGCATTTAAGAAGTCTCATTTCTTCTTCATATTGTGTTGGTTGATTGAGTGAATTAGTGATCTTAGTACCCCTGAATTGTGTGGTGTTGTGGACTCTCTACCTTTCATGGACTCTTGTTTCATGTTTTGAGTTTAACAGGTGCTCGAAAATGTGCTTTAAAATAACGTCTCCCGTGCGAATAGGGCGAAAGTGTGTAAGGGGAGACGGGAATTCCTTCCCAATTTTCACCTACTACCTCCAGCCCCCTTACATGTCTTTCCCCCGCACGAGGCTCGAGACACCCGCTCCTGGCATGGCCGGTAAGAGCTGGGCTCCCGCAAAACCTCTGCTAGGTGGGAGCCCCCATTTTCTGAAAAGCAGGTTGGGACCCTTGAAAAAAAAAAAGGAAAAATAACAGAAAACAAGCAAAACAGAAAGAAAAGGGGTTCCAACCGTCTTCAAAAAGAAAATAAGAGCACCTTGAAAAATGTGAGTCCATGATCTTTTTTTTTAGAGTCTCTTTGTCCATGATTCATTTGTCCTCTGTTCACTATTTGCCATGATGCCGACTCGAGACTAGCGTTCTCGCCGAAGAAGCTATGAGATGACTTGTGCGTCGGTTGATCTCGTAAGCGGCTAAATGATCTAGAAAATTCTCTATCAATGATCGAGGGTGCATGTTGCTATAGAGGTCTGGAGAGCTGCATTGGTTTGAGTTAGGCTTGCTTGGGGACAAGCAAACGGTTAAGTGTGGGGGGATTTGATGACTCGATATTTGCACATGTTTTCCCCTTTGTTTCTTGATTGTTTGAGCTTTAATTATTGCATATTTGGCCTATTTTACGCTAGGTTGTGTTCCTTTGTCACATTTCAGGTCCTAGTACATAAAGTGAAGCATAGGCGCAAGTTTCAAGTCAATCAGAGATCAATTGGCGATTAGGGAGAAGAAACTCGGGCATGACCTGAAGAAGAATGAATTTCTACCTCACTTTATGGACAAAGAATCATGCAAGCTTTTCATGAAAAGAAAGAGGACGAGACTACGAGCGTCTGGGATCAAACGGCGACTGATTCGGAGTACGGACGAGGGAGAAACGAAGCATTGAATATAGGGGAACATGTTCGGCAGTAAAAACACGGGCGCGCCTAAATCAAAACACGGCCGTGCCCATATTTAGGCACGACCGTGTTTTGGCCGACGCGTGCGAGCGTGTTTTTAACACGGGGCAAAACACGGGCGGTCAAAAGCAAAGCACGGATGTGCCCTCGACCGTGTTTTGCCCAGAATCAGGTTTTTTAACGCAAATTCGAGCCAAAGGAGAGGGAGAGCTGGGTTTTGGATCCCAAACACCCAAGGGATGAACCAAAGAGAGAAAGGGCGATCTGAGGGCATTCTAAGAGTGGAATTGGAGGATTTCTTCGCCTTGGAAGCTCGAGGAACAAGCCCGTACTTGAAGACTGATCATCTGAAGATTCTTACTGCAGTCTCTCTCTTCTCTATGGAGTAACTTCCCTTCACTTAGGTTTTGAGGAACCCTAGCTATGTTTGTTTGATTGGATGATTGTATGAGTACTCTGACTTGATAATCTTGAGTTCATATTCAATCTATGCATGTTTTCATGATTCAATTCTGCTTTAGTCGAGATTATTGATTCTGCTTTGATCCTATGAGAGGGAATACCTGATTAGGTCAATAGAGCACCATAGATTGATAGTAGTGGATCGATTGCTTTAGTCGAGGGTTGATTCACTGCTTTGTATCGATTGAGAACCTCATTTGATAGAGGGAATCTAGTTCCGAACGCCTTGATCGGTTGTTCTAGAGAAGGATACGTCCCTCTAGGCAATTGACTCAAGAGGGCCTTGTTCCTTTAGTCGAGACTCAAGGTCTAGTCAAGGATTCTCCGCATTGTGAATGAAAGTGAAACAAGTTAGAAATCATCAACCGTTAGTCTGGCTAGTGGCTAGGGGGAATCATACCTAAGTGAGTTCCCAACCTGTAATTAGATTAACTTTAACTGTAGTTTGCTAGAGTAGTTTTAGTTCTTTCATCTTAATCTGGTTTGCTAAATAATAAACTGAAGCTGAGTAATAGTAACTCTAGAGACCCGTGGATTCGATATTTATCACTTGAGCCACTATACTACATCCCTTCCATTGGTTACACTTGGCCATTGTTAGGTGTTGTGTCGTAGCGAGTCAGGCATCAATTCTACCGCCTATATGAACTTGAGGTTTTGGCTTTTTTTGGATTGGAGATTTGCTCTGTCGGAGTGTTGGTAAAGGAAACTCCCTGTAAGAATTGATTTTCGGTTCCTACGTAAAGGGGTTTATTTATAGGCTCTTTCATCGGGTTTTCTTGGAGAGAAAAGTAGGGTAGAAACTCTTCAGCCAAATCCTTTAGGTTTCCCCAGCTTAGCCTCTGAGTATGGAATATTCTCTCGAATCTAGATTGATACGGAACTCTCCAAAATTGGCGCCAAGGCTATCAATTTGGGCTCAAACTGACTAAATTTCATACAAAATTTTGGGTTTCACTTTAATCTCCCTTACTGACTTCTAGCAGCGAAATTTTGATGTCTTTCATTCGTATGAGGTGGTCCACTAAGATACGTTAGCCTAAAAACACATGAAACATAATAAACTTGCATCAAAATAATAAAAATAATCGTAGGAGCTATTAAACACATCTTTGAGTGATTACCAAGCAATTTCAACCTATTATGGCCTTATAGATATGACAACTATGCAAAACATGTTATAAATATAGGTATAAAATATTAATTTTTACATTTCATCAATAGGTTATTTAACATAAGTTTGTTATATGTTATATACATAACACATCAATGCGAACGTATCGCAGTGGATTTGACCCTGCCCACCGACAAATTGATGCAAACTAAGATACGTGTGGTGGGACATAAATGGGCTCAACACTAACCCACATGTAGTGGATGGTTCATGGGCGGGTGTGCGGGATACTCGCAAACCCAATCCCTCATAATTTTTCTGCAATCTCAATCTATACAGTCCCACATGACTTTCCGCTCTTCTTTCTTTTCTCCCAAAAACAATTTCCCTTCCTTGTATCCACTATCCAAATCCTACAGGACTTTCATCTCTCTTCCTTTGCCCCTGCTTTTTTAACGGTATACATAGGGCTGGTAATCGGGTATCCGGTTAACGGTATAACCGGAAATCGAACCGATAACCGGCGGTAACCGGTATACCGTTAACCGGTGTGTGACGGTACTCGGATGGGAGAAAGGAATAGCCGGTATACCGACTAAGTTTCGGTATAATACCGACGATCAGCCGGTTTTACCGATACCGAGAATCCTCAATCAATCTTAAACAAATAACCCTCCCAGTACTCCTCACCCTCCCTTCACCTGCTTGCGAGAAGCTCTGCAACCCTTCTCTCCTCTCTTTCTTTTTTTTTCTTCCCCAGCAACCTCTGCACAAGAAATCCCCAACCTCTCCAAATCAACAAGTCCAAAACCAACGTTCATGATTCTCAATCTCAAATGGCCACAGCCCACTAAAAATCCCCAATCCATGCGCTACCTTTTCCAAATCGGCAAATCCCCAATCAGCCGATTCCCGACCCCAACTCTCTTAGACCGGAGATTTCCGACCCTGGCCTCCGATGACGGCTTCGCAACCTCCGACGGCGGCCTCGCCTTCGTTCCCGAGTCCCGGCCCCAACCTCTGAAGGCGGCTTTACCTTCGTACTCGAGTCCCGGCAGCAACTCCGACCAGAGATTCAGCAGATCTGGAGATCCACCGCTGCCGCAGCACCTTCACAGACGGCCGGATCCACCAGCGACGACTGCATGCACGAGGGAGATGGAGAGCCGCCGTGCGCTGGAGATGCTACTCTGTCTCGAAAGTTTCTCCAGACCCCTGCTTCTGCTCTCCGTGCTCTGCAAAGAGTGGGTCAGTTGGGGGAAGATGAAGAGTTGAAGACGAAGAAAAAAGAAAGGCTTATCGGTTTTCGGATAACCGGGAACCATAACCGTTACCGACAATCCGGTAAGCCGGTTAACCGAAAATTACTCGGTACCGGTAGTCGGATTCAAAGCTGGGCATGTCGGTAATACCGATAACGGCTAAATCGATAACCGGTTATACCGATACCGACCGATTACCAGCCCTAGGTATACATGTATGAGTTAATAAATGCATGTGTTATATTAGCAGCAGTTGTTGAGTGAAGCTCGTCAATGTCTCATATTGCAAACAAGGGAAAAATTTATTTTGATGATAATTATAGTCCCGACAATCTGGGAAAAAGGAATTCTTTAAATCCATAGTAAAAAGGAATTCTTTTGTGAAGCATGTTACTTGGGGATGATCGCAGCGCTTCACACTTACAATAATAACCAGGAAAAAAAATTCGGAAAGGAAAAATAGTAAATTTGGGTTTTAGAAATCATTTTTACTATTGCCATCACTCATTACCATCCAAAGTAACATCTGCCTACCTATATACAATAAATGGCAACTGATATCTAACACAATCAATAGAAAGTTGACCCTCAAAGGTAAGGCTATAAAACCCCATCTGCCACCCCCACCCTCCAAATACAATAAACCATTCAACAACAACAACACAAAATCAAAGCTGAAAATGAAAACAGTGTCCTCCTCCAATAAGCCATACCTCCTTACCCTTATCAGCATCATAATCATCGCACTTCTTCTGACCTTCATGCTAGCTCATGGCGCTGATCTCCACCCCACCACTCTGGTTGGTACCTTGCTAACAGAAACGTCTTCTGCTATGGCTCTGTATTAATTCGATTCTGACTGCAGGGAGATGGTGACGAGAGCTTGGGAGAGAGATGTGAAGAGGGCGTTGGAGAAGAAGGTGAAGAGTGCTTGACCAGAAGAACCCTCCAAGCCCATCTTGATTACATCTACACACAACCTCATCCACCCCACCTCCCCTTCCCCTAGCCAGCCCCGATGTCCCAATTATCTGTGCTTTTCTTTCTTTCTTTCTCCCTTTTCAAGCAAAAGGAAGAGCATGATTGATTGCACCCAAGTTATATAGTTAACAATAAGAGGAGAAAGTATCTTCAATTAGCATATGGAAAGACATGGATGTTCATGATTAGCTCGAGGTCTGCAACAAAAGTGCCTCTGCTAATGATGAATTCCCACAGACTTGAGGGAGAAAGCTGCAAAGCAAAATTCTTCTTACACAAATCCTCTGCTAACTTTGTGTGGCTTCCATCAATTTTACAACTGCACGCCTAGTCTCCTAACAAACTAGCTCGTAGCTAGCTAGCTAACGGCAGCTGTGTCATCTTGATCTTTCTATTCTGATCCAAGCAAAGCAATCTCCGCAAGCTGCGATATGATACACAATCCTACATGCCACACCATTCGTCTAGATAAAGAAAAGGGGAATGCAGCATTCACATGTTCGAACCATAAAAATTAAATGGCATAGAAATGAAAGCCTGAGCTTGGATCATGTACTAAAAATCAAGGAATGTAGACGAGAGAAAGAGAGAGAGAGGTACATACAAATGCTACTTGGTTTTATCTTCATTAGCAATAACGTGGTTTCATATCAATAGATGACTTCCCAATCACAACATTTTCAAGCAGGCAACATCACCCTGGCGCCGCCCACAACATGTAAATACAATGCCAGGCAAATGGTAACAATAACAGAAGACTTAGCACCAACATATCGAACAACCTGAAGCCCTCTTTCCACTACCCCATCATGAACCACATCAGCACCTCTCTTCAAACCATCCCACAACTTCCACAACAAAACCTCCACAATCGATCTCACCGTCTCGAATGTCACCCTTCCAGTAACATCCAGCACAAACTTCCTGTTACTTGGCACTGCCAATGTCGACGAAACCTGCTTCATCCATCCGCTGCTCTCAAACGAATCCTCTTCCGCTTTCAGGTCTCCATTCTTTCCACCTTCTCTTTCAACAATGGAACAACAAGCAGATTCCCCTGGATCGGTGCTTGAGCCTGTTGTTGTCAAGACATGATGAGAAGTTTTCACAAGGGTTTCCAGGGACCCGTTGCAGACATCAACCAGCATGTCTCTGACATTGGTTCGATGATTCGGGTTGGTAAGGCCAGCAAAGAACTGATCATAGCTGTTGATGTGGATCGTCTTGTCGAGAAAAATAGTGACTGCAGTGCTCACAAACTTCTGTACACAATCAGCTATAAGCTCCTTACTCTGCTCATTACAAACCACACTAACCCACCCGGGGACTTCAGCTGAAGAAGACGTCTTTTCGCTCTCTTGGCCATCTCTACCAGCTGCATAGAACCCCAGAACCAGATTTCTGGCAAAGCTTCCGACCACAACAGAGACGAAACCAGTCCCGGCTTCAGAGAAAAGCTTCTCAGTCAGCTTGTGGCTGAAATTGGAATCCACGGCCCCAGCTGCAGATCGATTCTCCTTACACGATATGGAATCATACCCACGCAGAATCCCCACCGTTAACGCCTTAGAAACCCGAGTCAACGACTCGGAGAACTCGTCCGATTTCGCGAGCTTGGAGATTTGCCTCAAGCTATTGGGGATTTCATCCGAATCGGACAGCAGAAACTCCTTCAAATCCCTAGACACGACCCCCACCGTATCGGCGGAATCGGACACCAACTCAGCAACGGAGATCAGCGCTCCGGCGAGCTTCACCAGCTTCCGTCGCCTCCTCGCGACGCAAGGCAAGTTGTAGACCTTGTACGCGCCGTAACCGGACACCCCAATCACCCCGAGCAAAATCAGCAATTTCTTCCTCCGCCGGTACAATCCCAACCCTTTCTCCCTCACCAATACAAGATCCATGACCCTCCAGCGCCACACAAAAAAAAAAAAAAGAAAAAAAAAGGAGAAATTCGCAACGCTGGAGCTCCGCCGGGTAAACAAAAAGAGAGAAGAGGAAGGAGGAAATGAAAAACTTATGAGAGCGCGGCAGGATTTAGAGAATCGAGGAGGAGAATCAGAATCCAATTCCTCCTCCCCCCTAGGGTTCCGTTTCTGCCGTCAGTTAAACCCGCGCGAGGGGAAGTGAGTGAGCGAGCGAGTAGGAAGCAGAATTAATGGCGGTCGTTGAAGGAGCTTTTAAGGAACAAAATCGGACAATTCGTACGAACAAGGAAACGAAAATTTATTGGGGATGGTAAGGATTTTCCTGGAGATTTTCTCGAAACATTGGATTGGAGGAGATGGAAAGTGAAAGGAAAAAGGAGTTGAACCTTCCTTCCTGCGGTGGCGACGGGCGGCGGCGACGGAAATGGCAAGGAAGAGATGGAAGGAGGGAGGGAAGGAAGGTTATAATTGGGCGAGAAACCTGGGCCTCGTATTTTTCGAGGACGCAACTTTTCGGAAACCGCGGGGCGGGCGATATTGATACGAAAAAAACATCTTTTTTTTTACGGGTCGGGTTCGGCCTCGGTGATGAAAACTAAAATGAGTGTAGGTTGTTAAAATGGAAGTTAGCGTTGAAACGATCTTCCGTCCACGCTTTAAACTTTATCCATCCTATTTTTTTTGTTATTTCAATAAATTCGTTCACTTCTCGTTCCTCGATACTCTCATCGAGCATCATCCTTATGACGTTCCAGTGGACATTGCAAATAAAGATTTGTCTCAAAAAGGAACCAAGAAAGAAGTCAAAAGGCTATCGTACCGGTCGGTTGGACCGGAAATATCGGATATCGAATTTAAAATGGTAGTCGATTTTAGCGATAAAAAACGATTGAACTACAATTAAGTTACGGTTTTAGTATCATTGACTTTCACGATCAGTGGCGTAGACCACAATGACAAACATAGTTAATTAGGGATTAAGACTATGTATGGGTGGAGTGCGACACATGGGCGATGCTTTACAAGCAACTGTATTACTGATGGAGCTCCCTATTTCATTCGTTCCAGAAACACAACAGGTAATATGGTCTCTAAGTCATGGTCCATGAAACAATGTCGAAGATCGTATCGGAAAAATCAGCCAATATGATAATTTATGACAAAACCGTGGTTTAACCGTAGTTCAACCGTTAGTATCGTTAAATACCGCCTATCGGTTTAGCCTCTGATACTGCTATTTCGTGGTTGAATCGCCGATACGATACGATTTCATGGACCATGCTCTGAGCAGAGAAAGATAGTGGAGACCATCTCAGGTTTCATCAGAAATGAGACCGGAGTGATTGTGAAGAGCATCAGACACACAGCTGCAACGATAAAGAGACGGAGGTTTTCACAAACTTCTTCTATCCACGGTCTGGTGTCTGTTTCCGAATGTAAGCGATTCCAAAACCATCCTATCAAACCTTGAAAATGGAGGAACATGTGAAATAACCAACAATCATCGCAGCATAGAATATGATCTGCAATTTCTCTAACGCGAAAATACATCTCGCCAGAAGTGGCTGCTTATCCTCGTACCTTGAGATTTACCAATGCCAAGAATCCTGCTTTGACAAGGCCAGCCCAGCAGAAGCATTATGTGCTTCTATATGAACAACTCTGCAAGAATCGAATGGCAAACACCTGATATAGTAGAAGTACAACCAGAAGAAAAGTCTTGCGGTAGACCAAAATAAATGCTATCTGTCATTGCTTAGAACATAGGAAAAAGGAAATCAAACAATTGCTCATCACTAAGGCAACAAGTTTCCACCACAAATAATTTACACGGTTTGCTTTACAAGGCTTTTGCATAATCAATCACGAGTTTGGCTTAACAAACAAACCCATCAATTACAGTGCCAAAAGAATTCCAACTACGTTAATGGTACTTACAGTGTGGTGACTTTGGAGGTGGTCCAGAATAAAAAAAAATCAGCTTGCGCTGAGTGAAACCACCGATTGTATATTTTCACAGAGTGATGAAGATGCTGTTATCTTACTTCTTTGTTCGGTCTTTGAGGGGCAAGTCGATACAGTCATCTTCGAAATCACTGAAAGAGATGTCCTCTTCATCCCCTGGAACAATGGGAGTTTTGCAATCATCATAATCCGAATCCTCTGCGTCTGGCCACTCCTCCTCCTCCTCATAAATTGGCATTGTTACTTTAGATGATGAACCTAGGAGCATGATATCCTTGTGCTCATTCTTCACTACCGGCTTCTCGGCAATAACAGATTTATCAATGAAGGGCAATTCGTTCCTTGAAACGAGGTGCTTCTCTGTCTCGAAGTCGGCTGCCATGCTGGATGTCTGCTCGTCATATGTCCTAGGAGTGAAAAATACTTCTTGTGTTAAATCAGAACTCTGTCTCACGTACGAAGAACTTTTTCCAAACCAGTCATCACATTCTGGTTTGGTTTGCTTGTGTAGCTCCTGCATCCACAAGGACCTGGCTTCCATTACCTGCATAAATCATGTTGTGCTCTGATTACTGTGCCAATAACCCACTCATTGTTTGGGAGAGCTCAATATTCTAGTAACATAACCTAAAAATCTTTAGCTAGACAGATAATAGGAATGTTTTGGAAAATAAACTAGATAACGACATGATAAATACTCAAAACCAAGGTTACCTGGCGTGTAGATAAAACTTCTGCATCATGCTTGTTGAGTCTTGAATGCAGGAGAACGAAATAGACTTTCCAAAAGTAACTGTCGGACATATGACAAGGGCAAAGTTCAATTCTAAGAGCAGCTAACCTTGGTGCAAGTTGTTCGATAACTGAGGTGTGTAGTTGTTGTGCATCAGACATCTGAAGATCTGAAACAAGGTGGGCAAATTTAAAAAAAACGCTTAACCGCATGCCATAATCAGACAACCAAGGACTGCATTATCATGCCGAGAAATGACATGAACGAAACTTGCACCTAGAACGTGCACCTAGAAACCACAAACCATGATTCAGAGTACCATTCCTGTTTATTAACCACAGAAGTATCAAACGAAAACAAGACTGTTCCTCTGTTCTGATAACAATAGAAACACGAGGGCATTGAACAAAGAAGAGTAGAAATCATTGGCAACAGAGTGATAATCCATCTAGAGACAATACCTAGTGTGTGACATTGTATAGACGAAGACAAGAGGTGATTCGAGCCTATAAACGGACAACAGCCAGTCAGCATGTATCGGTCATCACATAATTCTCAGCCTAGTGCATTTGACATAGTTCCCTCCAGCTTCTCAAGATTCACAAACAGAGTAACTAGACAAGTGCATTGGTATAAAAAACAAGGCAACTGCATTATTACTAATGCATATGAACATATTCTCATCATTCCTAGACTACCATTCACATGATAAAGCGAAAATGCAAACAGTCCTTCTAAGCATGTACCCCAAATTACACTTTGCCGGGTGCAGATCACAAGAAACTCATCACTCAGCAGCCAGTACTCCAATTAAACATTCTTGCTATCTACAAAAGGTTTCCCACACAAAAAAACTCCCAAGTTGAAGCCCAGAAGAGCAGCAATCTACAAACAGTTCCTCAAACTAATCCCTATGAGGCTATGAACACGAGCACAATCCACCAAAAACCCAAATCCTCAAGTAATCGATATTGGCTTTCTTAGTTGAGTTCAACGGGTCAATAACGGGCGTGGCCTGAAACATGAGGTGCCCAACCCCAGTTAATTATCCAGGGAAACAGTTCGAATTCTAAACCACCAGAACATTAACAGACAAACATGATAGTGAATTTTGGAGTTCAATTCAAATCCTGGACAATGCACAATCAAAAAAAGAAGAAGACGCACCATCTAGGTCTTCCTCCTCGTCGAGAGGAAAGTCCAGCCAAGTCTCGGGATGCATAGCGATATTCCTCGCAAATGCCAACACTTCGTCGGTGATCCCTACAACTTTAGCTGCCCAGTCGTCGTCGTATTCCTCCGTTTCCAAATCCTCGCCGTCCGCTTCCTCATAATAATACTCTTCTCCTCCTTCTTCTTCTTCCTCTTCCACCTGGGTTTCCAGCCGATCGCCCTCCAATCCAAAGTGAAAGTAATCCGACCCCATCATTTTAGAAATCTCCGAGACCCCGCTCCTAAACCTACCCCCGATCTCCGTAAATTCCTGCCTGATCCCCGACGTTTCCTCCGAATTTCCGGTCGTGGCGCCGTCCGGTCGATCGGACGGATCGGAATCATTCAAATTCGAAGCCGATCGATCACACGATGTTGTCGCCTCCGAAGCCGCGTCGGCGGCGGCCTGCGTTGTGGGAGGGGGAGCAAGGAATGCAGCCACGCCCCACAATTGACGCTGTAGAGTTTGCCCTAATTCAGAGAGATCTTCTCTCACCCCTCTGGCTAACGCGTCTTCTTCTTCTTCTCCTCCTCCTTCCCCTCTTTCCCCATCGCCGATCTCTTTCAATCTCTCGGCTCCTTCATCATTGCGCTTTGAAAGTGAACCATCGCTAGATGCGTCGGCTGCAGCGTCGTTTTCCGAGCCTAGAACGTCAACCTCGTCCTCGCCGTCGCCGTCCGTGTTGTCGTCGTCGAGACGGAGGGAGTCGGCGAGAGAGCGAGCCAACCATGACATGGCGCTCTTGGGTGGGTTGGGTTCGTTTGCTATTGGGGCTCGAGGGAAGGAAAGGAAAGCTAACGAGAAAGTGACTTTCGAGGAAAATCAGAAAAGGGAGAAAAATGGCATACGGAAGATTTTTTAAAAAAAATGGAGAGCGGGCGTTGCAAGTTGTCAAACCGGTTTGATAACTGGTATATAATTGGTTTATCCCAGCTCATGTAGATTTTAGTTAGGAATTAGGATGGCTAGATTACGTCAATCAAATTACATTAATATTTCACGTTTCTCATTTGAATTACTTTTATTTTTTATTCATTATTAACTTTACGAATTGTTTCACCGTTAGTAGCCGACCGTCAAACTCAGTTAACTCCGTCAGTTTTCTATGATGTGGCAAACGGAAGTGATATGATCCCAAACCCCTTGAATTACAAACCTCAAAGGATCGATCAAGAAGCTGGATCAATCACGGGTAAAAAGAGGGAATTTTGGCGAAGTTCTTTTTGTGTTGCAGGATACCATCTTTGGAAGCTTGATACTCCCAAATGGTTCAAAGGAAATGCAAGGCAAGGGTTTGGAACTAAACTAGAGATGTTTCTCTAACGATGGAAGCTTTGGATAAGCCAGGAGAAGCCGTTATGATGATTTCCCAAAGCCTCCAAGTTGCCAGCCAGAAACTGGAATTTTTTCTAAAAACGGCCAAGTCTGGAACTGTGTTGGAGATGGCTACTTTAGGACTTCATTTCAGACAGGTGGGGAAGAACCAAGGCCAGAGATGAGTACCCCATGAAACTACATTTCACAATCTACAACGTAAGGGCATTGGCTGAAGAATTGGAGTTCGTTTGACTCATGAACAAGACGTCCAAAGTTGCTATGTTGAGCTGTTTATTTCCTTGTAATGTGAGACTTGGAATCATTGTGCCACAAGGATTAGTAGTAGTTATTTTTCTAGTTGAATTAGGAGTAGTTTTATCCTTTTTAGCGTAGTATGATGATTGTTAATTGCCTATAAAAGGCTTGATGCGTGTATGAGTTAAGGCAGAATGCATTTGAGTGAATTTTTACCCAATTCCCGAGCTTGAGAGTTTGAGAATTCGTTTGGTTTTGGTTGCGATCAAAACTTGCTGAGTCTTGCTTAATGAACGAGCAAACACACTCATTCACATTGAAAGCTTCATTACACGATTGTGCATCCCTCCAGGTGTAAGGATTCCCTTCCGTTCCATCCAATTTCGAGTTCAATTCCGCTTAAGTCGAGTGGGTTTGAGTTCTGTTCTTACCGAGATCAAGCGCATTGCTTGATCTAGCTTCCTGCTCGACTTTGAAACCTTTGATACCCAACATTGGGCTCATCAAGTGGCATCTAGAGCCTGGTGACTCACTTCTACTGTCACTCCAGGAATTGGCCAAGTGAAACCACTTCCTAAAGCGTAGTATAGCGGGTTTGGGTTTAAATGTCAACCCGGGTCCTAGATTTGATGACTACTCGGTGAATTCTTGTTATCTAGCAATGAAACTTTAATGCAAGTCTAAACTAACAAACTAACAAAGCAAGTAAACGGTTGTATTCAGGTTAAGAGAGGTCACCCGGATATGGTTCCCCCTAGACTGCAGTTAAGACGGATTGTAATTACCAAGTTTAGTTTCTATGATAGTTATACTGCGGATGGTTCTTAAACAGCCTAAAGTCTCGACTAAAGGTCTTCAGACCCTCTCAACGAGTCTCTAGCGGGCGACTAACCTCCACCGGAGTAAACAGATTGAGGCCTTAACAAACAAAACCTCCACTACCGAAGTAAATCCGGTACAGAATAGTGAGTTGGCTCCTCGACTAAAGTCACCAACTCCCTACCTTCAATCAAGGATGCTCTATCAACCTAGGCAGATATTCTCATTCTAGGTTAAAGCAGAAACAACAGGAATTTGATCAGGATTCATGCCATTCAATCAATCAAACCTCAATTGAATATAATCAAATCATAGAATCAGTACTTGGGTTCATACAATCAAACCTAACATACAAATCTAGGGTTCTCCATACCCAGATGAATGGGAGAACTACTCCATAGAGAAAGAAGCAAAAGCAGAATCAGACGCGGAATTCATACTGTGAAGGATGGATTCCTGCTCCTGGACGTTGATCGGCACTTCTCCAAGCTCAAATTGGCCTCCAATGGTGTTGAAGATCAAGCTAGGGCACTTGGAGACTCTTGTTCGTCGCTTTCTCTCTCTAGGAATCGCTCTGTCTCTCTAAAACTCGAATCCCCTTCTGTTTTGGCTGAAATCTGCTTAAAAGGGCATCAGTGGCCAAAGCACGGTCGAGGGCACGGCCGTGCATTGCCTCAGCCCGCCCGTGCTTTGGCTAGGGTTAATTACACGGCCATTGTGTTGGGAGAAACACGGCCGTGCTTTAGGGAGGACACGACCGTGCTTTGGGTGGACACGGCCGTGCTTTCAGCCCGTGTTTGCAGCTTGAATTTGCCAAACTCAATTAGCTCTCGGCAGTAAAAGCACGGCCACAGAACACGGTCGTGTTCTATTTTAGGTGTGCCCGTGTTTTGGCTCCAGCTCGACGAAATGACTTCCGAATGCCCCGAAACTCGTGCTTAGCCTTTCCTTTGACGCCTGGGACCTGAAATATGACAAAATAGCACAACCCGGCGTAAAATAGGCCAAAAATACACGACTATGCCCCTCAAACGGATAAGAACTAGGGGCGCAAATATGTGCAATTACATCGTTATCAAACTCCCCCACACTTAACCGTTTGCTTGTCCCCAAGCAAACCTAACTCAAACCAATGCAGCTCTCCAGATCTCTATAGCAACAAACAACCCAGATCGTAGGTAGAGGACTTCCTAGATCATTTAGCAGCTTACGAGGTCAACCGACGCACAAGTTATCTCACAGCTTCTTCGGCGAGAGCACTAGTATCGAGTCGGCATCATGGCAAATAGTGAACAGAGGACAAATGAATTGTGGATGAAGAGATTCTCAAAAACAAAGGATCATGGACTCACATTTTTCAAGGTGCTCTATTTTCTTCTTGAAGATGGTTGGAACCCCTTTTCTTTCTGTTTTGCTTGTTTTCTGTTATTTTTTCTTCTCTTTTTTTTCAAGGGTCCCAACCTGCTCTTACCGGCCATGCCAGGAGCGGATGTCTCGAGCCTCGTGCGGGGGAAAGACATGTGGGGCTGGAGGTAGTAGGTGGAAATTGGGAACGAATTCCCGTCTCCCCTTACACACTTTCGCCCTATTCGCACGGGAGACGATATTCTAAAGCACATTTTCGAGCACCTGTTATTTTCAAGACATGATACAAGAGTCCATGACAGGTAGAGAGTCCACAACACCACACAATTCAGGGGTCCTAAGATCACTAATTCACTCAATCAACCAACACAATATGAAGAAGAAATGAGACTTCTTAAATGCATCAACGTCCTCCATAGTGCTACACTACCTCCCTAGGTTGCATATTACTATAAAGACTGTCAATTCAAAGCATACTGAGCAGGCAATTGCAAGGAACACGTACTTGGAGCCCTCAAATTTAAAAATTTGGACAGTGGACTAGGCTCCAAGCACACAAACAGATCTAATGAAGTCAAAAGATAAACATCCCCCCACGCTTAAGATCGACATTGCCCTCAATGGAGAAGAGGGAAGGGAAAGGGGAACGATGTTACCGATATGCACGGACTGCAGGAGACTGGAAGCGGACCAGTCAAGACAAGCACAACTAAAGTAAACCAAAGAGCTCAAACACAATATGTTAGGTCCAATGGCCAGCCCAATAATACATCATCCAAAACAAAAGAAAACAAACCAAAACCAAAACGGTTTACAATCCGACTCAAAACACAAGAAAGAAAGTCAAACCGTGGTGGGGTTGCCTCCCCCCAAGCGCTTCTTTACCATCTTTTAGCTGGACGCCCATGGTGGATACTCAGGGAGGTGCAGGAACAGGTGCCTCCAAGAGCGGATCCACGTCGATCTTGAGGTACAGCTTCAGGTTGTGGCCATGCACCCGACGGATGCGACCACCATCATCGGTCAGCTCGACCTGGCCATCTGGCAAGATGCAGGCGAGTGAGTACCCAGACGGCCAGGGTGGTCGTGGTGCAGGAGGTGAGACCAGCTCATAGTGGTCTCCACCCTTCTTCCGTGCAGGCTTAGCAACCTGCTGCTTCGGCCGCCACTCCTCCTTGATCTTTTTGTTCGGAGGCGAGATTGGATGGAGTGGCGGCGAAGGAATGATAGGTGGGTCCTGCAAAATGAGAGGTGCAGAAGGATACACGACAGGCTCGTGTACCTGATCAGAAATGGCATGCACAGGTGTGACAGCAATCATAGCACAGTGATCAAATTCAGTCACAGAGAAAGTAGCCTGTTCATTCCCAGCACGCAGTATCAGTTTACCATCATGCACATCAATAAGTGCCTTGGCGGTGGCAAGAAATGGTCTACCCAGAATCAAAGGCACATCCACATCCTCATGTATATCAAGAATAACAAAATCAACAGGATATGTGAATGCACCGACACTGACAAGCAAATCCTCTATGATTCCCCTAGGATGCACAATGGAACGATCAGCGAGCTGAATGCTCATCCTAGTAGGGCTAAGTTCAACTAGGTCTAGCTTTTTATACAACTTATATGGCATAACATTTATGCTAGCGCCTAGGTCCGCCAAGGACTTGCCTACATGCATGCTGCCAATAGTAAGAGGGATAGTAAAACTCCCTGGATCCTTGCGCTTTTCGGGCAGCTTGTTCTGCAGGATAGCAGAACACTCCTCGCTCAGCAACACTGTCGAGAGATCCCCAAGTTTCTTCTTGTTGGTGAGGAGATCTTTCATGAACTTCGCGTACTTGGGCATCTTCGACAGTGCCTCCACAAACGGTATGCTGATGTTGAGCTGCTTCAACATTGCCATAAAATTGGCAAACTCAGTCTCCAACTTGTCTTTGTGTAGGCGAGTGGGGAAGGGAAGCTGAGGTACATGCTCCTTAACTACTGGTTGTGGTTTGGGAGCAGGGGCTTCCTTCTCCACCCGCACTTCTGCATCGTCGGCTGGAAGTGCTGAAGCAGGTAGTGGGTCCTCCTGCCTGGCCGGGACAGAATCAGCAGATATGGTCTTACCGCTCCTGGTAAAAATGGCATCCAGCTGCTGGAGTTGGTGAGGATCACGAGGATTCGGAATAGTGGTGGCAGGCAGAGTCCCCGGTGCCCTGGTAGTGTTTTGGCGGGCCAAGATACCCACGTGGGTCTGCAGATCTTGCAAAATGGCACCCTGGTTCCGCTGACCTGCCTCCAGTGACGTGATAGCAGCCTGAGTGCTAGTCATGAATGAAGCTAGAATATTTTCCAGCTTTGTCATCCGGTCATCTGGGGCAGGGGCTGCTGCTGGCTCGAAAAACTGACGCTGGGGCTGTTGGAATGGTTGCCCCTGCCTAGGCTGGTAGGGCTGCTGCTGTGGGGCTGGCCCCTGTCGAGCCTGGAAGGGCTGCCTCTACTGAAAGCCACCAGCTGGTGCTGGGAAACCAGGTGGCTTAGTGGTGTTGCTGCTCCAGGCGAAGTTGGGATGCTGGCGCCACCCCTCATTATATGTGTTGCTGTACGGGTCGAGGCGCCGAGCATTGGCGATGAAGTCCAACTGCTCTTGGGGAGTGGTAGACTCCCTCATAGCCTGGGAGTCCTCCACTAGGTGATTGGAGCTCTCGCACCACTGACATTGAGCTACTGGAGGTGTAGCCAAACCTCTGCCAGGAATAAGACTGTTGGACTGCTTCAATGTCTGCACTAGCTCAGCTACCTGCTGCTCGAGCCCGGATCTGGTCTCCATGGCGTGCACACCACGGTCCCGGGAATGTCTGCCTCTGCTACTCTGTCCCCAAGAATGATCTCTGGCAGCCAAGGTATTGATCATCTGGTTCAGCTCGGGTGGAGTCTTAGTAAGAATATCCCCTCCTGGGCATAGAGACTCAATCACCCTCTGGCTGTCTGGAGAGAGAGCACTGTAGAAGTTCCCCACTGTGAATGCATCACTAAAGCCATGATGGGGACACTGCTAGAAATATCCCATGTACCACTCCCATGCATCACGAAGTGACTCATCTGGCTCTTGGCGGAAGTGAGTGATCTCCCGCTGGATCTCTGTAGTCTTCGATGCCGGATAGTACCTGTGCACGAATTTGTCAGCCAGATCGTCCCAAGAGGTGATGGACAATGGGGGTTGGGTCTCCAACCACCTCTTAGCATTCCCAGCCAGGGAATGGGGGAAGAGATGAAGGGGGATTGCATCATCCGAGACACCATTCAGCTTGAACCCGTTCGTCAGCTGCAGAAAACGGGAAAGATGCACCCTGGCCTCCTCATCTTTCAAGCCATGGAACTGGATAGAAGATGTAATGAGCTGAATCCAGCATGGCTTGATCTCGAAGTTGTTTGCTGGAATAGGCGGGTAGAGGATGACCGGGCGGATGTCAGCAATCCGAGGAGTGTAGTAGTACTCCAAGGTGGGACCCGGCGGCGGTGGATGATGAACCCTATGATCCTGGGATATGGGGTTGTTCCCCAGGACCTGATTCACCGGGGGAGCCTGCTGAGGATTCCCCTGGTGTGGATTGTAGTCTCCGTCCATCCCGTACTCTTCTTCAGAATCGCTACTCAGGTGGCCGTCTATGCGCTCTACCGTAGCCAGTCTAGCTCGTTGTTGTGTCCTGAGTTGGCGACAGGTGCGGTCAATCTCTGGATTCAACGGCAGTAAACCTCCTGACTGGCTACGGGTCATGCACTACCTGCACACACTCAAGCAAGCAAACCCGTGAAGGCACAAGTGGGACAAAGCAAACAAAGCAAAAAGAAAAGCTAAATTAACAGAAATCACTTTTCTTCAACAACCTAGCCGTCCCCGGCAACGGCGCCAAAAACTTGACTCACTTCTACTGTCACTCCAGGAATTGGCCAAGTGAAACCACTTCCTAAAGCATAGTATAGCGGGTTTAGGTTTAAATGTCAACCCGGGTCCTAGATTTGATGATTACTCAGTGAATTCTTGTTATCTAGCAATGAAACTTTAATGCAAGTCTAAACTAACAAACTAACAAAGCAAGTAATTTGTTGTATTCAGATTAAGAGAGGTCACCCGGATATGGTTCCCCCTAGACTGCAGCTAAGCCGGATTGTAATTACCAAGTTCAGTTTCTATGATAGTTATACTGCGGAAGGTTCTTAAACAGCCTGAAGTCTCGACTAAAGATCTTCAGACCCTCTCAATCTGAGTCTCTAGCGGGCGACTAACCTCCACCGGAGTAAACAGATTGAGGCCTTAACAAAAAAAACCTCCACTACCGGAGTAAATCCGGTACAGAATAGTGAGTTGGCTCCTCGACTAAAGTCACCAACTCCCTACCTTCAATCAAGGATGCTCTATCAACCTAGGCAGATATTCTCATTCTAGGTTAAAGCAGAAACAACAGGAATTTGATCAGGATTCATGCCATTCAATCAATCAAACCTCAATTGAATATAATCAAATCATAGAATCAGTACTTGGGTTCATACAATCAAACCTAACATAAAAATCTAGGGTTCTCCATACCCAGATGAATGGGAGAACTACTCCATGGAGAAAGAAGCAAAAGCAGAATCAGACGCGGAATTCATACTGTGAAGGATGGATTCCTGCTCCTGGACGTTGATCGGCACTTCTCCAAGCTCAAACTGGCCTCCAATGGTGTTGAATATCAAGCTAGGGCACTTGGAGACTCTTGTTCGTCGCTTTCTCTCTCTAGGAATCGCTCTGTCTCTCTAAAACTCGAATCCCCTTCTGTTTTGGCTGAAATCTGCTTAAAAGGGCATCAGTGGCCAAAGCACGGTCGAGGGCACGGCCGTGCTTTGCCTCAGCCCGCCCGTGCTTTGGCTAGGGTTAATTACACGGCCATTGTGTTGGGAGAAACACGGCCGTGCTTTAGGGAGGACACGACCGTGCTTTGGGTGGACACGGCCGTG